TGGGGGGTGGCTCTCGTGGCCTAGACGTTAAGGTGTTTGCCTCTCATTCCGTAGATCCCAGGTTCGAATCTGGACAGCAACGGAACATTTTCTTCTTTAAAATTTTCGCCTTTCATCTCCTTTCCTGCTCTCTTACAATTAAATGTTCTGTCGTCTGCTTTCGTCTCCACTTCCTGCCCCACACCCCATCACCTCCCTTGCCCCCTTTTCTGGGCTCCTGACTCTATCTTCAGCCTTTCTACTGCTACTCCTTTGCTCCTTTTCACTGCTGTCTTTTAGCCACGCCCCTGATCTTCTGGTAGGAAAGATCTACACCTAGCCTTCTCGGACAAAGGCAAAAATCTCGGAGGTCCCGTGTGCAAGTTGCGCACGTTAAAGATCCCTTGGTGGTTCAAAATCGATAGGAGTAGGCTTCGGCCGCCACCGGGGCAAAATTCAAATTTTCGTACCAACTGAAAAAGTTTAATGTGCCCTGCGCGCTTGTATGACCTTATGCAGTTGCGAGCGCCGTAAAATACGTACAAAAAAGATCCTCTTGTTAGTTTCGGCACCTTTCAGAACTCATCCTGAACACTGTGTAAAGTTTTTATTTTACTACCCACACCGTGGCTATAATTAAATGTTAACAGTATGGTATGGCACGCGTCCAAGATTAACTTTGCGGTACAAGAGTAGTGTGAGTCTAGGTAATGCTGGATTGATTATTCATAAGTAGATGAAAGGAATGATCGGTGCATTAACATCTACTGGAAGTCTTTGGTCCACTATATTTTGCACTCTACTGAAATGGAGCAATAAATCTTGAGAGATGCAAACAATTAATAAGAAGGTCTAGATCTATATTCTCAAAAGAAAATGCGCCTCGCGAAATATCACGTTTTGCCATTCCGCTGTGACAGACAAGTGTACGCAGATTTGTTTCGTTTCTCTGTAGAATAATCACAAAGGCCGAAGAAGGACGGAACATCTTTGTGAAATATATTTTTGTAAATCCAGTAAATGAACGAATAAAAGATCGGTTTCCGTCATGGGGAGCTAATTTTCTATTTGCAAATACATGTACTTGCTAACATTCAACTCTGTGGCTGTCGCAGTTTTATGGGAAAATAATAGGTTATGTCCTTCTGCGCCTCTGGGAAGGGGGAGGAGGGGAGTGGGAGGCAGTGAAGTTTTTTTTTT